AGCCTTTGGTTCTGTTCTCAGAGTCCACGATGGGAACAGCGGTGGCAGTCGCAGTTTGTCATTTGTTTGCAATCTGTCCACACTCCCTATTCTTGGAGGTGTGCTGGTTCAGTCTGTGCCCCAGCCCCTAGTTCTTTAGCTACTGTTGGTGCCCATACTGCTGTTTCCTCAGAACTGTTGGTTTCTGTTAATGTGCAGATGAGGTAAAGGCTTGGCTGCGAACAGCGGGGTGAGGGCCAGGCTGCAGGCCAGGAGGAGACTGCTTGGCGCTGCCGGGCTCATGGCTGAGGCCACGCTCCGTTCTCTGGTGCCGCAATCCCGGACGCAGCTCTTCCTGGGGCGAACCAAAGGGCACTGCCCATCATTAGTTTTTTTAATTTAATTTAATTTTATTATGTTAGTCATCATACAGTACATCATTAGTTTTTGATGTAGTGATCCATGACATCATTAGTTTTTGATATAGTGTTCAACGATTCATTAGTTGTGTATAACACCCACTGCTCATCACAACATGTGCCCTCTTTTTTGTACTTCAACTTATATTGCTATGATACACACATATCAATTTTTTATAGTTCCATTTCATTGTTTTGGACTGCAGTATAATATTTCTTGCATGAGTATATCAACATGTATTTATCCATTCTCATTATTATAGATATCTGGCTAACATGAGTATCTGGACAATATGGGTGGTACAGATATTTTAACAATGGTATTCTTCTAACCCATAAACATGGGACATCTTTCCATTTGTTTGTGTCTTCTTCATTTTCTTTCATCAAAGTCTTATAATTTTCAGAGTATAGCTTTTACTAAAGTCTTTGGTTAAATTTATTCCCAAATATGTTATTATCTTGACGTTATTGTAAATAAAATATTTTTCTTTTTGCCCCCCACATCAACATAGCTTTTATTGTATCTTTAAAATATCACAAATAAGTCTGAAAAATCATCCGGCATCTATCTGTTTCTGTAGCTGGACAACTTAGATCTTGTTCGTCAGCCTGCTGAACTGTTCCTTTTTCAGAAACATAGATACCATCCAAAATTTTTTTGGTAATACTTATTTTTTTGTTTATTTTTAACTGTTGTGGCTTGCTGAATCAAAGCAGCTGAATTTGATACAAGTTCAATGTCATTTCCTTCAAGAATTAACTCATCTTTCTGGGCTTGAGATACTGAACAAGCAACACCTGGCCTCACCCAAACCCTGCGGATATATTTTTCATCCAAGAAATTTTGGATTTTGATAGGAAAACGATTCTCCTGAATAGCAACGTTGACGGGGGAAGTGGGCATACAGCTACCTCATCTTGTTACAGAAGTCCCTTTAATTTCCTTGACCATGTTCTGTATGTGACTACAGATAGTGCAAACAGTAGCCAGTTCTTTTCTATTTCCCCACCATCTGTCAACTGAGCCTCTTCTTTTTCTTTCCTGGGAGACTGAGTTCTACATTGATGTATTGAGTCCCTCCACAGGGTTCCTCTGGGGCCCTTCACAATAACAGTGTATCCCTTCAGAGTGATGTCGACATTTTCTGGAATGTCAATAGTCTGATTACTGAGAATGGTCTTCATTCTCACAGTAGATGAGCCGAAATTGTTTTCTTTATTTCTTTTTCAAATATTGTGTCATTGGTGTATAGAAATGGACCTGTTTTCTGTATGTTGATTTTTTATCCTGCAAATTTGCTGAGTTTGTAGATTAGTTCTAAAGATGTTTGGTGGAGTCTTTAAGATTTTCTCTATATATCATCATATAATCTGCAAACCAAGACCATTTTACTTCTTTCTTTGTGATCTGGATGTCTTTTTATTTCTTTTTCTTGTCTGATTGCTGTGGCCAGGACTTCCAGTACCATGTTGAATAGGAGTGGTGAGAGTGGACATCCTCGTCTTGTTCCTGATCTTAGAGGAAAAGCTTTCAGGTATTTGCTATTGAGTATGATGCTAGCTGTGCGTTTGTCATAGATAGCCTTTATTGTGTTCCTTCTATACCCAATTTGTTGAGAGTTTTTATCATGAAAGGATGTTGTGTTTTTTCAAACGCATTTTTCTGCATCTATTGAGATGATTATGTGATTTTTATCATTCATTTTATTAATATGATGTTTCACATTTATTGATTGTGTATGTTGAACCATCCTCGTGTCCCATGGATAAATCCCACTTGATCACGGTGCATGATCCTTTTGATGTGTCATTGAATTTGGATGGCTAATATTGTGTTCAGAATTTTTGCACCTATAATTCATCAGGAATAGTGGTCTGTGATTTTATTTTCTTGCATTGTGCTTATCTGGCTTTGATATCAGGGTAGTGCTCATCTCATAAAATTAGCTTAGGAGTTCCTTCCTTTTCAGTTATTTGGAAGGGTTGGAGAAGAATCAGCATTAATTTTTCTTTAAATGTGTGGTAGAATTCTCCAGGGAAACCATCTTGTCCTGGTCTTTGGGACAGGTGTGCTGGGAGGTTTGTGGTTCTGATTCAATCTCCTTAGTCATTATTAGTCTGTTCAGATTTTCTATTTCTTCCTGATTTAGTCTTAATAGATTGTATGTCTACAATAAGTTATCCATTTTTTCCAGATTGTCTGGTTTGTTGGTGTTTAACTGTTCATAGCAGTCTCTTACGATCCTAGGCATTTCTGTCGTATCAGTTGTAACATCTCCTCTTTCATTTCTGGTTTTACTTATTTGTGTCCTCTCATTTTTTTCTGAGATAGTCTAGCTAAAGTTTTGTCAGTTTTGTTTATCTTTTGAGAAACTTTCCTTCTGCCAACTTTGGGAAGTCTTTCTCCTGCAGGTGGGGGCACACTGGCTCTTGACCCTGGGGCTAGTGGTGCACAGTGCCAAGTGCAGGGGTATGTGATGTCACTAGATCCAGGGGGATGTCATGTGTCTTTTTTGGCTCACAGTACGTGGGTCCACAGCATCCACAACAGCGTGGTCCTTGGCGAGCACTGTAGGGGATCTAGAGGCTACAAGGGCTGGTGTGATCATAGGCAGTGCCTCCAGGCCCAGTAGCTAGGGACCAGGGAAGGCAGCAGGGGTGGCTGGAGCTGGTGGCGTGCACACACTCAGCTGCAGAGACTCTGGCTGTATGTACATTCTTCCCCTGGGCATGCACACTGCAGGGAAGCCAGTGACAGGGTTGGGCTTGGGTATGCAAGTACACAGCTAGAGGGGTTAGCCACAGGCAGGCACAGTGGTGTTGGCCAGTGACAGAGGCAGGGCCTGATCCAGGTCTGCCAGCAGCTGTATGGGCCCTGGCTGTCAGTGTGCTCTCTCGACAGGTACGCATACCACAGTGCAGCTTGGTGATAGGAGTTAGACCCGTGACATGCAGGTGCACAGCTGGAGGGGCTAACCCTGATTGTGGGCATGGTGGTGGGGTTAGCTAGGGAGGCCCTGGCTGGTGTCTTGTTCTCACACAGCTACGGACGCCTGAGCTGGCTGCTAGTGTGGCTCCTGGGCACCGGTGGGGGTGGGGAGGGACTCTGGAGGCTGGCATCAGTGAATGCGAACACCCGTAGGGTGAAAGCTGGCAAGACCAGCTTATACACACATCTTGCATTGCATTGCATTGAATGAAAGCTTGCATTCATCGGTGGTGCAATCTGCTGAGTTTTCTGCAGACCTGGCCTCTGTGAACCAGGATTGCTAACATAGCCTCTGCTTTTCTTCCTTGCTCCTAGCTGGCTCAGTGCTCTCAGCCTTGCCAGTCTGGAGCGGGGGTCACATCCAAGTGGGACCTTTGCACAGTGCCCCAGAGGTGGGAGAGGCTGGCCAGTCTGCCTCTCCCACCTTCCCTGGAGAAAGAGCTCTTTCGGGCTGGGCAGGAGCCCTGGCACTGCGTAATGCTGGCCCAAGGGATGGGCAGATGCTAGCAAATGACGGTGTCTTCCTTCCTTTCTTGTGAGACTAGTCTCAGTCTTTCTGTCTCCCAGAGCTGTTTTTGTTCGTGGATAGCTATCCAATCCTCCATCTTTGTCAGGAGACGGGGATGCTGGGCTCTCCTACCTCACCATTTTCCTGCCATCTCCAGCAATCCCAAGGCATTCATTGTGGAAATGTGGATGAGATTGGTAATGTCCTCCTGAGGTTTATGTGAGAACTAAATTATCTGTTGCACTTCAAACAAAATTGCATGTCACCTTGTTATCTGAAGGGTATGGAACAGCCTGTAGAGAATTGTCTACGGGGCTACTGTGAGACTCAACAGCACTGTGACCCAGGTGTGGTCCCTACAGTACTTGAAGTCACAGGGGGTAGATGGGCTTCATATGGAGGCACAGGCCCCTGTCCAGCCTGAGGACAAAGCACAGAGTGGAAGAGTGGTTCATGGTGCCCCCTGACCTGGCATCTCCACCCCCCAGGGGCACTTTTTGTTGGGGGCATTTGCAACACCCACAGTCATTGCTTGGGGCTTGCTGTCTTATTCTGGGATCTCATAGAGCCTATTTATCCTGGAGCTCAGAACATCCCTCTTTCTGCAAGCGTGGAGGGTCGTATGCTCATTGCCATGGAAATGGGCCAGCGTATCTAGGACCCTGGTGCATGGTGAGCCCTGGAGGAAATGGGGGTCCTTCTTCAAGGGCCCCACTTTTTTCTCTCTGCAGGGAGCTGGAAAATACCAGGATCATTAAAATGGAAAGAGGCACACGTGCATGTTGGGGTCACCAGTGAGGTGCATTCACAGGGGGATCACACTCACTTGTGAATAACGCTGTATCCATGACTCCCACCTGGGCACACGGTGCATTCACATGGCATCTTGAAATAGGCAAATGCCATGGATCAAAACTTTTTTAAAAAACCATTTATATCTTGTAGCCGGTGTAGCAGCTCACCACCAGGCTTCACTTCAAACACCCCTGAGCTCCCTCAAACTGATGGTATTTCTGGAAAACTCTACCAGGTGTCATCAGATGAGGAGAGAAGACCTCCACGATTCCAGAGAGGGTTTAGGGCAAGGTTTTAGATTCATCTGTTCCAAAGTGGACCTGATTTTCACCCATCTATTTACTTACGAAAACAGATTTTGTGTTTTGGGCTGAAGGGATGGAGGTGCACATCAGGGAATGAGGAAATGGAAAGTAAAGGAAAATGTATCCCATGAAAGTGGACCAGAGCTGCTGCTGTAGGAAGGTATGAACCCAACCCTGCCGTGTGGGACGAACCCTCAAGTCACAGGGATGAGGAAAGACGGGGGGCAGTCAAGGATGTCCAACAATGGCAGGAGGGAAAGCACCACAGTTCATGGGGGACGAGTCCTGGACTGAGAACAGCCCAGACATTTCCTGGCATCTAAACCATGTTTCCCCTGGATGTTCTCAGCAGGCAGATCAGCCAGCATGAGCTGCAGGCTTTCTTCCAGACCCCCTTGGGCAGATTAGATTGATGTCCAAAGGTCTGCCACAGGGAATGGTGGGTTGGCTCCCCCTTGTGTTTAGCTCCTGGCTGCACCTGGGGTCCTTGCCTGGCTGTGCTGAGCCTCTAGTAGCAGAATCCCGAGGACCACCAGGATCAAGGCAGCCACGCCCATTCGGATCAGATTCTCCACCGTGTAATCCCTGCGATCTGAGGCTAAGAATGAGGACAGAGAGGGTGCAGAGGTCAGTGTGGACCCAAATGAGCCTGGATGCTGGATGTCGACCGAGGACACCCGCCTTCCCCTGACAGGACACCCCCTCCATCCCAGCCCCATCACTGAGACATTCTTCTACTTACCACTGCTGGGGTCTGAATTGTTTTGGGGTGGGCTCACGGTGTCAGCTGTTCCTGCAGGGAAGATGGAAGCAGATGGAAGGAGCTGGAGACCCCCGTCCAGCCTGCCCTCTGCTCTGTGTTCTATATCCCTCAACCTGTCACTATGTAGTTTTTGTACAGTTCCTGAACTAACCCTTCTCTGCACTAGCAGGGTTTCCTCTGCTCTCCTCACTGGATTCCTTCAGCCTCCTTGTTTTCCTTGATTTTAGACTTTGCTTCTGAGTCATTCTGGGTAGATTCTGACTGTGCCCCAGGAGCTCAGGATTGCAGAGAAAAATGGGCTCCCCACACAGAAATCATCATGTCCTTGTATGTTCTCTGTTCAGTCTGGGACACAGACCTCTTGTGCTCATGTCCCTGCAGACGAGAGTTCCCACTCATTCAGTAGCTGAGGACCCAGCGTCCATGGACGAGGGGATGTGTCAGGAGCACAGAGGGGCCAATGTCTGGGGCAGGGTCCCCTTCGCTCCGTATCAACCAGCTCCCATTCTTCAGGGTCTGCATTTTAATCTGTACCTAGAGTATTCATCCTTGGATATGTTCATTAATTCATTCTTCATATAGTTAGAAATATCTGCAGTGGTAGATACATAGAGAGATGATAGATGATAGCTAGATAAATAGATAGATAGATAGATAGATAGATAGATAGATAGATAGATAGATCGGTCTGTATACACACATCTACATCTAACACATTAATATGTATCTCCTAAAGATGTTCAGTCATTGGGTCATATGAACATCATTATTCCTTGCTTGCAGTGTGGATCTAGACAGGAAGACCAGTTACAAACATGTGAAAAGCTATGGGATGAAGATTATGGGCATGAGGATGAATGGCTTCAGATAGATATACATGGATTACACATATACGTGCTTTACACTCATAGATTATATGTATGGATTTTTATAACCATGTCTATTTGTATAATAGCAGATATAATATAAATACATAATCAAGTGTATATGTATGGATATCTATCTACATCTTCCTGTGTAGAGAGAGAGACAGACGCAGAGAGAGGTACAGTCTGTCTGTTCCTCAACAGGAGGGCACTCGAGTCTGTGGCGTGTGGGGGTGGGCAGGGGACAGGAGGGTCTGGACTCAGGCTTTGGGGAATTGGAGGCAGGTCAGGGACACGTGCCCAGGAGGAGTCTGCGTCCTCATCTCACTGTTTGGGGACAAACTCTAGAAATCAGGTGAGGTTTCAAGTAGGGATAGTTAATCATTTTATTTGCACTGAAAAGACAACCTCTGTCCCCACTATATCACAGGCCAGACCTGAGGAAGTCCCTACGTGTGGATTTCAAACCTCCAGGAAAGGAGAGAGTCGGTGGAATTTACTATGGAGGGAACACACAAACTAGGAAATCATTAACATCTCAACCTAGTTTTCAGATGAAAAGAAAATAGTAAAAAAAAAAAAAAGGAAAAAGGAAAAACAAAATATGGACCAATCCTAATTATCAAGATTCATACAAATGGTCAAAGTAATATTAGCTTATACAATTCAGAAAATACTAGTGAACAGTAAACGTTATGCAGTTGGGTTAACACCCAAATGTTTGAAACCAGGAAGCCTTTGTAAAGAGCCTCATGTGGCTAAAAATCAAAGAGAAAACATAGTTGTTCAGGAGACGTACATCTTTCAGGAAAAGATCACATTTTTAATAAAACCCTAATAAAGCAGGAAAATGGATTGAAATGGATAGATCAGCGGTGCTTTCAATATAAAAATAGATTTTTAATGAACTTGCTTTAAAATAAATTTGGGGTATAAATCAAGCTGTTTCCCTGACGTGAATCTTGTGACCATTTTCTCCGTCCTTTGAAATGAGAAACACAGGTGTGCATTTTGGAAACGAGAAAGTGAAATTTCCATGTGTCATTTTGAGCAGCGCATTGAGAAATAGTTGAAAGGAAAAGAGTGTAGTGAGTTCACAGCACATAAAAATATGCCCACACCCATAGCTCTCTCAGGCATAGTGAACTATTATTCGGACAACTGACATATATGGTATTAAAGTAGCTAAGAAGTTCAAAGAACAGGCTGCGACTTGACACCACTTCTACGGAAAACGTTGAAAGGCTGTGAAGTTCATGTAAGTGAGGAATCACTGACTTTACGCAGGAAATAAGTAAATAAAAGAGACTCGTTGAAAATGTGCTAAGACTCGGCAGTGCCCAGGAGTTCTTCCCCACAAGGAATGTGTGAATCGGATGTGACCCGATGCACACAGAAGGATGACTTGTTTCTGAGTCTGCATCCCTGTCACCTGAGTTCCCTTTGTCACCATGTCTGCAGGTGCTGCTCTAGAAGGTGTGAGAAGCAGGCGCAGGGACACTGGACAAGCGTCCACACACAATGCCCAGTGGACACCAGCTGCACATGGGCACACGGTGCAGCGTCCCTGGGGACTCCCGTGAGCCGGGCACGGCCCCTCCTCAGTCTCAGGTGTGCACCGAGGGGCATGGAGGCCCCCAGGTGAGCACAGGGGGCAGCAGAGTGGCGCCTGCAGGCGGGGAGGCTTCTCTCTAGGAGAGTGTCCTGTGGGGCTGACACCGCGGCTCCGATTCTGATATGGAGGGGACAGGAGGTGAGTGGGAGGCCTCTGTCTACTCACGATTGTCCTCACTCCCCCACCCCTCATGCAGCCCCCTACTCCTTACCTCTGCTGGGACTGCAGCATAGGGCAGCCCCGGTGGGTCTTTCCAGTCTCCCCTGGGATGGACCCTCCTCCGTGGAGCCCCCGTGACCCCCACATTTGCTACTGTGTCAGGCTTTCCTGAAATGTGCATCTTGAGCTGACAGAGCTCATAAAGGTCAGGTTCAGGGGCCCCTCACCTGAGACCAGGAGCTCCAGGGGGTCACT